TGAGGCAATTATTGACCACAAATTAAAATAACCAAAAGGGTGATATCATCTCTATTTCCTTTTTTTGGTTTTTTTATTTTTACAAGAAGAAATTGCTAAAAGGTTTTTAAAGTTATATATATTTATTATGAAATGTATTTTCCACAATAATTTTATTTAAAATTTATATCAACACCTAAACTCAAAAAATATTATTATTTACTTGGGCAAATGTGTATGTATATATGGATATACGCAAAAATTGGTTTTTTAACGAACTGTGCAAAATTATTTTATTTAAAGCACAAACAAAAACAATAATAATATTTACTTTTTAACAATTTCAACGTTTTCCGAGAAAAATAATTTTGCAATTTAATAACTAAAAAAAGAAAGAAAATAATTTGCAAGAAAGTAAAGTGTATAGGGGAAATACATTATATAAATTAAATTTTTTTTTTTGGTAAAGAAAGCTTTTTGAGAATTCAGAAAAACAATCTTATATTGATATTAACTTGTTCAAGGTATACAAGAAATTAATGTTTGTATTAATTTATATTTACATATCTACTTAATATTTAACAGATTTATACAATATAACGGGTTCTCTATTTGCAGTACAAATATGGAAACATATGGTTAACTTTATTGTGACTATTGACTATATGAAGACTTATTATTATAGTAATTTTCTTTCCCTCTTAAGTAAGCACATAAACAAAAAGTCTCTTGTTAAAGTCTATTCTTAACGTCTCTTGTTCAAGTCTCTTTTTCAAGTCTCTTGTTAAAGTCTCTTGTTAAAGTCTCTTGTTAAAGTCTCTTGTTAAAGTCTCTTGTTAAAGTCTCTTGTTAAAGTCTCTTGTTAAAGTCTCTTGTTAAAGTCTCTTGTTAAAGTCTCTTGTTAAAGTCTCTTGTTAAAGTCTCTGGTTAAAGCCTCTTGTTAAAGTCTCTTGTTAAAGTCTCTGGTTAAAGCCTCTTGTTAAAGTCTCTTGTTAAAGTCTCTTGTTAAAGTCTCTTGTTAAAGTCTCTTGTTAAAGTCTCTTGTTAAAGTCTCTTGTTAAAGTCTTTAAAACACCAATTAAAAGAGCAACAATATTCGCTTACTCATAAAGTATCTAAATACTTAAGAAACTTTACCAATGCAATAAGAAATCTATTCTGAATTGAAATTAAAACTTACCAATGACCAAAACTATTCTGAATTTTAATTATTTTAACTAAAATTCTACTTATCTATCAAAGTTTATGTCAAAATATTAGCAAGAGACTTAAAGTTTCTTTAATACTCTGGAGTAACATAATAAGGCTTTTATACGTTAAATAATCTATTTCCCTTTAAATATTAAAATAATAATAGTGCTATTTACACGGATCTACCTTTTAGTATATTTAGTTAAATACACTAAGAGCCTTTAATTTTTATATGACGTTCTTGAAAGTACAAATTATTAAGTTTAACTTTTTGACTTGCTATTAAGTTATTCAATAGGTGCCATAATAAAAAAAAAATATATATAATTGAAATTCTGAAAGCTCACAAAGTGGAAACTCTTGCAATATTTGCATTTCAGGTCAATCTGTGTGACAATTTAAATAAACTAGTTGATAAGATATTTACAATACCATTCGTATATTAATATATATTCATATATTTATTTAATTCAGAGTATTTACTCTACTTTTTCATCTCTTTTATAATCTCAACATTTATTTATGAAAATGATGATGCAATAATCAAAACATTGACAATCATTTGAATAGAATAGAACGACAATGTGGAATTGATACTGACGTCAAAACGTTTAACAAATTAATTAGAAAAAGTAATCTATATGTATCTATACAATACATATTGTATACATTTGTATAAAAGTATCTGTATTCGTGTTGCTATTCATTATTTTATAAACAAAATGCACTACTAAATAAGTGAAAGAATAAGGAAATTTATAATTAAATGATTTATGGACTGTAATACTATAATATTGTAATATAAAAATACTGGAGTGGCATGAATATAGAGTGAAGTTTATTGTGACAAAAACAGCATTTCATATATTACAATTATTAATACTAGTTGTAATAATTTAATTATTACTTTATTGATTTAATTATATTACTTATTTAATTGCAAATATATTTGTTGAGTTATTTTTGACATAAACATAAACATTTCCAGTTCAATGTTTAAATCTATTTTATATAATTAATCTAAAATATATTTGAACATGCAACTTAGCCAAAGTACAAAAAAGAATAAAATAAAACTGAAAATAAAGAAAAAACAAATAAAATGGAATTTGTAAAAACCAAAAAAAATATAAAGAAATAAAATTATAACCACTTTCTGTTATTTCATTAAATTGGCTTTTAGCCTTGTATCTTGTATATTTTTGCTAAAATGACAGTGAACTTGTAAGAACAGACAACCATGGAAAAGATACGAAAAAGATTCGATAACGTAAAAAATAAAAATATTACAAAAATTTATGATAAAAGGTTTGTTTATTTAAATATTTCTAAGCCTATACATTGAATAGTTAAAGGTTTGTGCCAAATCAAATCTAATAAAGCTATAAAGTATGTATATATTAAATTGTATATATTAGGTGTAAATAATATACTGCATTATCACAATTTATAATACAAATTAACCCGTTAAAAAACAAAATCATTATGAAAAATATTTGGTCATTAAAACAATTAATTATTAATTTATATTACCTATACCCAATAAGCTATTATGCAAAAAGAAACTTAATTTTTAAAAATGTTTAAAAAGTACATGTGGACAGACTGGGAACTTCATAAAGTATATACTTTAGTATATTTCAATACTTTAGATAAATTAGTATATTTAAATTCCTTAGCTTAGTATACATACTTTTGTATAACATATGTATACAAAATATATAAATAAATATTACATATAAATAAATGTAAAAAAAATATTTATATTTATAAAAATTTTTATATAAAAAATTTAATATTTGTATATATCCTATAGTTTAATTCAATTCTTCAGTATATGTAAAGAGCTTTTAGTATACTATATATAGACACTTTAAAAGGCACAATAGTATTTTAATTAATTCAACTTTGATTCAATCCAGATCTTTTGGTATTTTATGCGTTCGGAATAAGTTTATAATACAAATTATAACACTATAGATATATAGCGTGGTTTCTGTACTTGAACGGAATTAAAAACACAGAGGCTATATTTAAATTTGAAAATTATTTATTGTGTTCTATTTATTTCCTTAATCAGGAAACTAGAAACTTCTTCTTGGAAAACAATTTTCTTTTTTCTTATTAAAATTTTCCAAATTTTGTATTGTCAATATATTTTTTTTGTAATTGTAATCCAGCTTACTGTGATTATTGAGAATATCGACGTCTACAGATATATAATATAAATATATAATATAAGTATATAATATAAATATATAATATAAATATATAATATAAATATATAATATAAATACATAATATAAATATATAATATGAATATGTGATAAAAGTATATAATATCTGTTTAATGTCTCAGTATCACTCAGCATTAGCAATAGCAAATACATTAAGACTGAAAAGTTTTCGGAAATTCTCATTTAAAATTCGCGCGCTGTATATTTTTCGATATTTTAAGTTTATGTAGTTTGGCAGCACTGTCCTTAATTACTATGCCAAAAATGAGCGCGATCTGTCAGACAGTTCGTTTACGGCAGCTGTTGAACCCAGTTCACCTCAGTAGTGCGTTGCGAAATGTCTTCGACGGTCGTACGACCGTCCTGAAAGGCTTTGTACCACTCATAAACTTGAGTTTTCGATAAAACTGATTCCCAATAAGCCTTTTGTAGCATTCGCAACGATTCTGCACACGAAATTTCGTTCGAAACACAAAATTTGATGCAAACTCTTTGTTCAATATTTTTTTCCATTGTCTTTTTCGCAACGCACTACTGAGGTGAACTGGTTTCACCAGCTGCCGTAAACGAACTGTCTGACAGATCGCGCTCATTTTTGGCATAGTAATTGTCCTTAATTGCTGCCAAACTACATAAACTTAAAATATCGAAAAATATACAGCGCGCGAATTTTAAATGAGAATTTCCGAAAACTTTTCGGTCTTAATGTATTCTTTAAATGACCTGTAGCTTAAAATGCAGCAGAATTTCTAGAACCCAATATCAATACTACAACAATTATTTAAATTCATGATAAAATTTTTATTTAATAATTTTATTTAATTGTCCAAAATAATTTTTTTTTATAAAAATTTTTTTTTCTTAAGTTTAAAAACAATTTAAATAATATAATTTGTTGTTGAACTAGAAAAAAAATATTTGAATTATTTAAAATTATAATTTATTTTAATTTAAAAATTTATTTCACTAAATTTCGAAAAACTTAAGAATAATATATATTTAATATTAATAAAAATATTTAAAAAAATTATATTATTTTTTGAGCGGGTTAATTGGTCATTTAAATAAAAACTATAATTTATTATTTTATTTAAACAAATTATATTTTATTGAAGTACTATTCCAATATTTCGACTATCTTCGAATGTCATCTTCATCTTTTTATTAAAAAAAATTTAATAAAAATATTAATTATAAATAATATTATAATAACTTTATGCAATGCTGCCAAATATGACTTTCTTTTATTTTTTGCAATTTTTAACTATGAAAAAAGACTATCTAAAGATTTTTACTTTAATTTTTTTAACAATCTGCAGATAAAGTATTTATTTTTAGTACTTATCTATACGTTGGATAGTGATTTCGTACATATCTATTCAGCTTATATATAATATATTATATATAAGCCACAAATAGAAGAATGGCCAAACACAATCTTTTTCATTTCAACTTCTTTAGCTTTGCCATTTTACTTTATGGCTTAATAATAGTTAAAAATATTTTCGAAAAGTTGCCAAAAATAAGAAAAGGCGACACATAAGAATAATTTCATATATATAATACATAATATATAATATAAAGGTAACTAACCTTTCTTATTTACCAGAAATTATGATGAATAAACTTAATTCTGGCAAATTCCACAAAAAATGGAAATGGCAAATATTTTGGCAATTCTCAAGTTGAGCGTCGCGCCGCGCCGCTGCTCCTCTGCTGCTCTGCTGTGTAGACAACTTAAATTATTATTAATAATCACTATTTTTTTTCTTCGTTTTAACACAAAAGAATTATAAATATTTGGATTTTATTATCTTGTATTTTTATCTATACTATATATATTTGTTAGATATTTATTTTTGATATTTGTTGTTGTGTGTGTGTTTTTGTATTTTTTTTTTGTTGTTGAAGATAATGTAGTTATAAGTTATGCCATATCGCTCAAACGTTCGAAAAGTGTGTCACGCATGTTGCGATTATTTGCATTAATCTATTGTATTTGTTGTTATATATACCATATATATTATATATAAAATATTTTTGAAAATTTTTAATTTAATTTTTTTATGTATTTCGGTTCATATTTACTAAACTTTGATTATTATTAATATTGTTTCTTTTTTGTTTTTGTTGTCAATATTTTGAAAACAAATTTGGCTTATCAAAATTTGGCAAATTGCCGTGCCACGGGGGCACACGGGTGGCAGCCCAAGCACTTCTCTAGAATTTCATACACATACACAAATGTCAAACGCCACTTTTGACATAAGAAGAAACAAGTACTATAATTAAATAAATTATATATTGAAATAAGTTTCACGTTAATTTAACGTTTAATGCAAATTTCACAATTTATATAGATTTTTTCAACCTTTACGTGAAGTGAGCATTTTTATGCGCTGCTACACTTCAAAACTACACATTCCTGAGCATAAAACATTTGTTTTTGTTGTTATTTATGCAAATAACGAATTATAAAATTTTATTTTTATTTTATATTTATTTTACTTAATTTTATTGAACGACAAAACTAGTATGCGAACATGAACCACTTTTTGTGTGTATATTCTGCAGTTACCACATCAGGTATTGATGATAATATGCATATTATTTTACACATATATATAAATATATATATATATATGTATATGTATGAACGTTACTTTATGTGTGTACAATTCTATTAATTAGTATTTTTAAAAATTCAAAAATTAATTTTTAATTTCTATGTGAAATTTTATTTAAACACGTTTTTTTTCTGGTCTTTGTTGTGAAATTGTTTAACAAAGAAAAAAATATTTTTTATTTATATTTTTTTTCTTGTTTTTTGTTTCAAATTAATCTATCTAACTTTGCTCGTTATTTATTTATTTACACTTTTCGTATAAAAGTTTTACACTTTGTACAATTCTCAACTGTTTTGTTATTGTTATTGTTTTTATTGTTTTATTCATCGTATTTAAGTATGACAGAATGTAAAGTAATTATATAGAGACTTTATTATAAAAGCAAAAAGTACTGGAACAATGAAAATTTCTTTAAAACGCGATCCGCGTTAAACTTCGACAAACGTTCTTGACCGATTGATATAAACTTTTTGAAAAGTCTCTCAATTGATACAATTTTGTGGCGCGATTTTGCCAAACACAAACACACTCACCCATACACCTATCCAATGTGAAGCTTTTTTACAACAATTAACTAACTAACTAACATAACATATATTTCCTACACTTCGCTTGCCTTTGCCTGCTGCTTGTTCTTCTCTCTTTTCCTATATTAACGCTGTATGTGTGATGTACAATATTTACTTTGGTTTTATTTTCATTGCTCTTTGTCTTCAACTTATTTACAATTTTGTTGTGAAATGTTTTTAGACTTTGACTCAGCTGTTTGTGCAACAAAACGGAAATACAAATGCTTTCAGCGTAAAAATTCCAAATTATAGAAAATTATTTCGAAGTGAAAGAAAATTCTTAAGATTTGTTGTTGTATGTTGCGAATAGGGAATTATGGTTGTGCCTGAGTGGATTAATCTTTTTGTATAAAAATTTTCACTGTGTGATCAGATTATGACCACACACATTTTAGTTGATATAAAAAATCACAAAATAATTAATTAATTTTAATTAATTAACCTTAATTAATTGACTAATTGACTGAATTTAATTAATTATAATGTAACCGAAATTTAGTCATCTGATCACAAAGTAAAAATTTGTGTATAAGAAGATCCATCCCCTCAGGCAATTAGTTAATTAATTTTAAATAATTATTTTAGTGTATAATGATTTGATCAATTTTAACTAAATAAATATTAATATTTACTAAATTAATATTTAAATAATAAATAATTAATTAAAATTGTCCATTTTTGCATTTGATACGAAATAAGAAGTAGTAAATGTATACCAAATTGGGTCTTCCTTTCGTATGACACTTTAATTCGGAAATTGGAGTTCTCAAAAAATCACTTGCTTGTACAGATGTTTGTTTAAATCTATCTGATATAACTAATGTAGGTATTAAAAACATTGCTCATTTTATTAAAAGGACAAAATATATTCGTAATGACACTATCTTTAAAATAATTTAAAGCACATCACTTGCTTTGAAACTTGAGTATTACAATCTTCGCACTCTAGATAGCTGACGTCTCTTTTGCAACATGCTGTCACCAATACCTATTAGTTATGGTAACGGTATTGAATATTGAATCCATTCAACATGTTTATCATCTATCTTATTCCAGCTAAAAACTTGTATAATTAATGAATATAAAGCAGTTCTTTTGAATAATAATGAAGAAGAATCTGAACAATTAGATTGTAATTAGATTATAGGTCACTCAATCTACTTTTATTTCTATATATTTGACGCAGAAGTAAAAATAATATCCCAAAATAATGATGTAACTTTGAAAGTGTTTTAGGAAGAAATTCTTCGTATGATTTTGCTGTGACGTAAAAATATGAATGACGTCACAAAATTTATAAATTTTTTTAGGAGTGTTCTAGAAAGAAGTTTTTTGTGTGATCTTTGGTTCTCTTGTAGAATACAACTCGTAGAGAGATGTTTGCTTATATATAGGTGGTAATTAATGAATATGTGCTTAATGATGACATTAATATCGTTTAACGAAACTAATTAGCATTTTGTGAATATAGAACACTATGTTCAAACAAAAAAGGTGAATATACATATCACAGTACATACATACATAGTAAATATGGTTTATTAAATTTCCTAATTTATATGTATGTAGGTAAAACAATAAAGGAGACATCGGGTACCCTATAATGTATTTAAATTATGGATCAGCTTGAAAAGAAAAATCAACTATGAACATGATATTTGTCTGTCTTAGACTAGTATATATGTCGGCTAAATAAGCTATACAATGAAAATTGATTTAAAATTGATTTAAAATTGTTTGACAAAGGAAATTAGGTACATTACAAGCGTGGATAGAACTTAATATTAATATTTATTAAATTTTACACAATCGCTTCAGATTTTGATATAGCTAATATACTATTTGTTTTAAACCAAAGTTTTGAAAACAAAATTTATTATACTTTTTTGTTAATTTTTTTTTAAGAATATATTCAGAAGACCAGATATATACTAATTAATAAATTATTTTTAATAGTATTTTATTTAGAGTGTTACAAATTAATTTCTTTTAATTAATTTTTAATTTAATTAAAACATTTATTTTAATTAATTTTTTATGTATATATTACTACATACATTAATATAAATTATATTTAATTGTATTTTAATTTTAATTAGAGTGTCTGCAATTACATAAAATCTATTAAGGTATATACAAATTTTAATTTGAGCTCATCGTACTTTCGAAGTCAATTAGTTTCTAAATTTGACACCATATCAAATTATTCCAATTGGGTCTTACATGTTCACCCACGAGTTATCTGTCTTATAAACATGCTAACTTAACTCTCTTTTTTATACACAGACCAAAAAGCTTTCGCTCTTTCGGTTTTGCTATTTGCCATAACGATTTTTACAACTTTGTTTTGTTACAAAGTTTGTTTTCAAACTGTGGCTACTTTTGTTGTTTTTACATTTTCCCCAATACTAATTTGCATATACAATCTAAAATGCAGAAATGCCAAAGAAAAGAACAAAACAAAAAAATAAAAAAAATATATATAAAGCCAATATAAGCGTCCCAAACTAAGTTATTGTGTAAATATTACAAATTGCCGGAGTTAACCTACAGTGGTAGGAGAGAGTGCATACACGCCATATTGTGGAACTGTTTGGTAGTAGTGCGTGCCTGCAAAACATATGATATGCAGACCAGACCAGTCATCTCTATATGTGTAAAAATTCCTGTTGTGTAAATGGCTGCAAAAAAAAAAAAAAACGAAGTTGGCGTCTGTATGTGGTTTGAATGTGAAATGTGAAAGGGGCATGAAGTCGTTGGTGTTCGTTTTTTATTTTTTTTATACGTTTGGCTTTAATTGGGGTTGGAAATTTTCCAATTGAAATTCTTTACAATAACTTTACTTTTCTTGTGAAATTAAGATTCACATTGCACATTCATAAAGACCAAAGTACAGTTTATACTTAGAAAAATAAATTAAAAATTCATTAATTTTATAAATTTTGTATATTAATTTTTCTTTTGTCCTTTACATGTGCAACAATTTTTAGCATTTTGTTTACCTATGGGTTTAAAGCACATTTATTCAATTTTTTTTTTTTGCAATCTACAAACTCATACTGACAAGACAAAATCAAACATTTATTATTTTTTATGCATTTAAATTCTGTTTGACGTCACTTCAAAACTTTAAAGTTAAGCAATTGTTGTTCTCTCGTCGAGTGAACGATTTTGTTGTGTTTTCCCCATTTGTTTACTTCACTTTTAGCTTTCGTATTGTTGGTCTATAATTCTTTTTCTGTTTTTTTGTTTTCTTGTTTTTGTTTTTATTTTCTTGTTTACATTTTAATATTCTTGTTTTTAATCCATTTTAAATTGTATTCATTTTTTTTCTGGCCTCTTCTGCGAATCACTATTATAAAACTATATTATTCATACGACTGCCCTCTCCCTTCCGCCCATATTTTGTTAATTAGTAGCGCACAGAGTAAACATCGGATGACGTTTGAGACTTAATAGAATAGCGTTTTTTTAATTTTTATTTTTATTTGCTTCTATTTGTTTTTGTTTCAATTTTATTAATTATTTATTTATTTATTTACTGAAAGTATGACGTATATCTGCTATAACTTAAATCAGATTTTTTGTTATTTGTTAATAAAAACCAAA